TCTTCAGTGAGCTTTTGTACCTCATTTTCCATTTAGGCAATTCTACTTTTTAAGTAGTTCTTCTCTTTAGTAGATTTTTGTGCCTATTTTACCTATTTGGTCTATTCTGTTTTTTAAGGTGTTATTTTCCTCAGTATTTATGCATTTCTGTGCCTCTTTTACTAAGTTGTTGATGCTTTTTTCCTGATTCTCTTGCATCACTCTCATTTCTTTTCCCAATTTTTCCTCTACCTCTCTTATTTGATTTTTAAAATCCTTTGTGAGCTCTTCCAGGAATTCTTTTTTGGGTCTGAGACCAATTCACATTTTTCTTTGAGGCTTTTGCATATAGCTATTTTGACTTTGTTGTCTTCTTCTGAATTTGTGTTTTGATCTTCCCTATTACCACAGTTACCACAGTAACTTTCTATGGTCAGGTTGTTTTGTTGTTGTTGTTTTTGCTCCTTTTTCAGCCTATTTCTTGACTCTTAACTTTATGTTATAGGTGTGTTTATGGACTGTGCTCTGGTCTGTGAGTAACCACAAACACTCTTTTCCACCCTGGAACTGAGACCAGGGTCCCCATTGCCCTGTGACTTTAAGCTCTGGTGTGCTAGTGTCCCCTCCTTACCCCAGGACTGTGACTCAGATCCAAATATGGGCAATGCCAAAGAGTCCTGCACCCAGTGCCAGCAAAGGGACCCCTGTAATCTCCTTCTGAACTAGCTGTCCAATCCCCTTACCATCTGTGGGCTGAGAGCTCTGGAAGCCACTGCTGCCATTTCAGTTGCCCCCAAGGCCAGCTTCTGGCTTGCACTGGACATGGCTGCTACTGACTGACTGGTATAGAGTCGAGGGCCTCACTGCTAGCTTGCTCAGGTATGGACTGTGCTGGGCTACAAGCCACTCTCATCCCAATGCAACAGATCTTTCCTTCTAAGTTGCTTGGACTGGGAATTTGTTTCACCCCCTCCTTTTGTGAGTTCTGCTGCTTTAGAACTCATTTTGAGGTGTTATTTTAAAGTTGAAGGAGAATTTGGAAAAGCTCAGGTGAGTCCTTGCTTTTTCTCTGCCATCTTGCTATCTTAAATTCGCATTATTAACATTTTGTCCATCACTTTCTTAAGTCCAGATAATCAACAAAACAATAAATCAACCTCTGATTTATAGTTTGCCTATTTCTAAGGTGTAAATGCTCACAATGAAGGTTTGACAATTGGCTCTCTTGGTTCAAGCTGGCTCTGGCACATATACCTAATTATATATACCCTAAAGTTTCCCATCCTCTTAACTTTGTTCATGCTCTTCTTCATGCCTGAAAAGCTCTTCCCAGTCCCATCCTTACTTATTTAATTCCTACCTTTAAAGCCTACTCCAAATGTTACCTTCTTCATAAATCCTTCCCTGATTACCCCATTTACTAATGACTTTTCTCTGTGTATCTTCAATAGAACTTTGTACCCCTCTTGTACAGTCATCATGAATTATACTTTATGATACTTCATAGCACAAGTTATATCTATTGGACTTTAACCTTGACATCAGGGGCTAGGTCCTATCTAGATCATGTATCTTCTCTTCCATCTAGCACTACTGTGCTTAATACAAATCAGATTTGTTGAATTGTTATTTATCTGCCATCTCCTCCAAGCTGTAACTCTAACATCCATATGTACTCATTGGCCAATAGTAACAATAGACTAAAAAAATGTGTATAAGGATAATGAGTGTCTATATAGGTTGTTTGAATAAATTAGCACTCATGAAACATCTTATTATAAGCTTGATTTCTGCTAGCTAATAAATCTTTGAAAACTGATATTATGTGCCCACTTGTTATGTATTCTAACCTTTACCTTCCCTGCTCTCACATATCTACCTAGCATAGCACAGTGATCAATGTCTTGCACATAGTAATAAGTCAGTAAACTTAATATTTGTGGAATTGATTAGATTAAATTGATCTTAGCAGCCCTCATTTTGACAACTGTAGCCAAGTGCTTAAAACTAAGCAGAGTTCTAAAAGATTACGACATTTGGTAATACTTAAAATATTTATTAGTATGAATCAGTGTATGTTAAAAACAAAATAACAAATACAGTCTTGTTGCTATTGTTGGAATTTGATGATTTTTATGAGGAGAGATTGGGAATGCACTACTGTCTAAAGAAAGGGAGAAAAGTCTTGACATTGTAAAAGCATCCCCCTATGCAGGAACTGGGTCCAGCCCAGTCAAAGCCCTTTGCAAAAACACAAGAGAGAAAGCAGTATTCCTGACAAAACATAATGCTGACATTGGTACACTGGGTCTGGTTTAAAAATGATTAAAATAGTAAACATATATCACTGATATACTTCTAGTCTATTGCTCAACTTGCCTTACTCTTCCGTAGCAATGTAAAGTGGGGAACCTACCAGTGAGTGCTTGTTTTCAGCTACTACACATTATAGTGCCATGTCTAGAGAAAGCATTTCACCTTCACATCCCCAGCACTTAGCACAATCCCAGGTACATAATAGGCACTTAATAAATGCTAGTTGACTAAACTTGTGCATACCCCCTATAAGGAATGAGATTAATTCTCTTTGGAGCACAACTTCAGTACCCCGACTGTAAAAGAATGGCTAATTTGGGGCCCTCAAAATCTTGTAGCCTGGACGGAAAATGCATATTTAGTATCATTGATGTACTATTTCAAAGTTTAAAAAATGGCAAGTCAACAAGGTATCTATATCAGCCTCTTGTATGTTGCTACTTTCTATCTTTGGCCTTTCTGTTCTTAAATGTGAAATGGGTACTATAAAAATTCATATTTACAATATACAATAGATATCTGTAAGCCAGACTCAGCCAGTGAAAGGTATAACATGTTACCTTAAGAAATGTAAAATCATATTTATATATGTATATATGTACATAAGAAGAGATAAAGAAGGGGCAGGAAGAGAAAAATGGAAAAAGAGAATGAAGGAGAGAGAAAGGGAGGGAAGGAAGAAGGGAAAGAAAGAGGGAGAACGAAAGAAAGGAAGGGAGGGAGAAAGAGACGTTTGGGAATGATTAAAATGGTGTTATGTCACCTCTAATGCTCTAGCTAGAGTTTGGAGGCACATTGTTCTATAAGGTCACCTTGTAATATACTGTTCATGTGTTAACTCAGGCTACCCTGATTTTTTTTAAATGGCTCTCATGAAAAATCCTGACTCTTGAAAGGGTCTAGGTACTTTCCTGAGAAGGCTCAATAGACATAAATGTGTTTGCTCAGCCATGCTCTATCAGCTCCTTCCTGATTCTTTAAGTGATGATTAAGGCTTTCTTCCTCCCAAACTGCTTCTGATAGAAAGAAACAGTATCACAGAGGTAAAAAACAATCACTTTAAAAACCTAATCTCTTCTGAAAAGAGCCCTGATTCAATTAATTGGAGGGGAAGGGGGGGGGAATATTCATGCTCTGTCATCAGAATTAGCCTCCTTTATGTTAGAATTTGTCCAGTGTAATACCCTAGCTATGTGACAGACACATGGATATGATTCCTTACTTTCTCTGCTCTATTCCCTTCTTAGTTCAGACGTTAACTCAGTTTCTCTGTTGAAAGAGGAAAGGCTCAACAAAGATCTGCATGTCACCCAGAAAGAATTGACTTCAGTTTCTAATATCAAACTATTTACTTCCAGAAGGATGTGCAGATCTGTGTCAGGTCTAAAGTAAATTCAGTGTAGACTATGGACAATGTAGGAAATCCCATAAAGTCTTTTCCCAGACAGCCAGAATCCCTCTTTATTATTTGTGATGGACCTGTTTCTGTCTGAAATAACTGAGACTCAATTCTGTACCAAGACAGGTAGAACGGATAGAGTTCCTTCCAGCCACTAAGATTCAAGAACTAACAAACCAGCTCTACCAAGTCCAGAAATGCAATTAGAGAATCAAACTGGCTGTGTTCACGATAAACAAAAACAAAAAATATTTTTATTTGTAATCTTTTGTAATCTGTCATTTGTAATCTTTGTAATCTTTTTGTAATTTATAATCTTTTGCATTTTGTCATCTTTTTTATATGTAAAAAAATTTTTTTTTAATTTCAAAAGATCTTTATCGTCAGCCTGGCTTCATTGATTGTCATTCCATACACAGCCTTTTTTTACACAAAAGAGGGATGGTTGTGATACCCATACTGATCCCTCAGTAAATGCTTCTTTGGGCCATTGACATAACTCATTTCATCAGCTTAGGAAAAAAAGGATCAGAGTGTAACAGGCACTAAACAATCATGGGGATGGTAATATGTTTGCTCCCTAAGACATGAAAACTCCAGGTGTTTAGCCAAGACTTAATTTCTCTCCTAGTTCTGAAATGAACTAATTGCATGAACTTAGACAAACCATTTACCCTTTCCGAGCCTTTGTTTTCTCCTGTTTCTCCAGGTCAATGAGTGATACGATTGCTTCCTAGACCACAATTAAGGTGCTCATGGAAGGGTAAAAATGGGACCAACTTTCTCTTGACTTGACCAAATATTTTGGGGAGGGTAGGATTTCTTCTCACAGTATGGTAAAAAGACAGCTGGATTTAAAGACAGCTTAGATTCAAAGCCCACCTCTCCTACTTACTACTATGTGAGCTCGGGTGAATTAACTTAATTTGATCTCATTTTCATCACCCAAAAAATGAGAGGTGTTTGTCTCAATGGTCTCTAAAGTCATTAGTTCCTTAATCCCTTATCTCCTACCAAGGGTACTGCACCTGAGAAATTCTAAAAGTCCTGTTCCAATTTGAACCTTGGTGAGAAGTCAACCACTGTTTGATCCTGGATTGGTAAAAAACTTGGAATGCAAAAAGGATTTAGACTTAGGGGACAACTAGCTTTTCTCCTTATCCTTCTCAGTCTTCACTTCTTCCCTCCACTGGATCCAAGTGGAGTTTTCAAAATTGAACAAACAGGGGCAGCTAGGTGGCACAGTGGATAGAGCACTGGCCTTGGATTCAGGAGGACCTGAGTTCAGATCCAGCCTCAGACACATAACACTTACTAGCTGTGTGACCCTGGGCAAGTCACTTAACCCCATTGCCTAGCCAAAAAAAAAAAAAACCTGAAATTGAACAAACAAAAGATATTCAAATCCTTTTATATTACAGAAGAAGCTAAGGAATCTGGATCAGGAAGGCGATCCTAAAGTCTATATTTTGTGCAGATATGATGGAGTACTGCATTGATAGAGTGTAGAAGAGTCCAAAAGATGTCTTTTTTTTAATGCCTTTTTTTTGTCTAGTAGTTTTAAAGTGTTTAAAAGCCTAAGGCATCTGCCACTCACTGACTAATTGCTCAATAATCTAACCAATCTCCCCTCATCAGAAGTTTATCCTGTAGTTTAGTCTGCAGATTCTTTTACTTCAATTCTTAACCTTGATTAAGAAACCATGACAGATGCTATTAGCAAGGACATACTTTGTACATTGAGCTCCCTACCCATCAAGACAACATGCAGTAGGAAGTACCTCTTTTAAAAATATCTCTACTTTAGTCTGCTCATATGCATTCTTACATAGGAATGCCTTCTGTCTCTTTTTCAGAAACAAGACCTTCTCAGCTATCAAGTCATTTGCAGCAACTTTCTCAGGTTTGTCACTCTACATGTACCTGAAACTCAAAATGTGTGCAATTGAGGAGAAAAAGCATAGATCTAAAAAATATTTCTCTTTCTTCTTTTCTTCCTTCCTTCTTTTTTTTTGTTCCTTTCATCCCCTTTCCTTCTCTTTCTTTCTTCCTCTTTCTTTAAAATAAGTCTTCCCTTCTTTTTCAGTGAATTGCTCAAACCTGTAATCTGGGGGACAGTTGGATAATAATCCTCTGTTCTCTAAAGAAGATGTGGGAAGTATGGGCTAAATTCTATTTCTTTCCTTTAAAAAATTTTATTTAGAGTAGATCTAAAATTTAAAAATAAAAACCATGCTCAGTTCTAAAACCATATAAAAAGTTATCTCCTCACTAGCTAACTTTCACAGGTGACTGATTAGGTCATCCACAAAGTCAATGGCACAAAGATTCCGGCAGTGTGACCAGGCCAACTAGGAAGCCAGAGAGGAACAACTGACCCCAGAATGCCCCCACACAAACTGAGCCAGCAAGAATACATCCTCTTTCTTACAAAACTTGAGGACTGGGAGGGTTAACAGAGAACTTGGTATATACTTGTCATCCACCCACTCCCTTCCTTCACCCACTCAGTAAAAACCACCATTTTAAGAAGAGTGAGAAAGGGGGGGGGGGGCAAGATGAATTCAGTATAATCCAATCCATCAATATAAATAGTATGACTAAGGATTTTTCAAGAATTTCTGCAAAATCCTTTCCCAGAGAAACTTTCTGGTTGTGATGCCTGCGTATTTTTCATAATGTAGAGCTGGGTTTTTTTTTAAACAAGGCACCAAGTCACCAAGAGTGGGAAGTCCTTCAGTCAGTGCACAAGAAAATGGGATTTGAGTTCTTCAAGTACATCAGATGATATCATATCGGGTCAGCAACATCGCCTGCTTGCTTGTGGTGTTTGCTTCCCAAGCCTGATTGCTCCATTGTTCCCATTTTCATGAGGATCCAAGGGTGGGATCTGACGACCTAGAACATAAAACAAAGTCAGGGCTGGGTTTTGTGATTTGTCAGTATCCCTTCACACAGGTTCTTATAAAACCATCCTAATGATCCTCTAGTAACCCTAATTGAGTGTTTATCTCTTTCCTATTTACCTTCCACTTCTCCCTTCCATCTTCATGCCACATACTTATCCTAACACCAGTTCATTTTTATTCTTTCCCTAGCTCTTCCCACCCCATCCCCAGCCCAGGTCACTTTAAAAAAATACTTGAAGGATTCATATGTGCCATGATCTTTATTAGCAACTTTCAGAAGTGTTCCCAATTGCTTTTTTTTTCGAAAAAAATTGATCAAGGTCATTCAGCTCATTTTGAATCTACCAGCATAATTCACCAGAATCCTATTCTATCTACTATGCAGAAATCCCAATGAGAGAGCAAAGTAGATCTAGGATGGATAAGGGAGAAGGAAACATTGGACATGGGAAAGGTGGGAAGATAGGGGATTAGAGTCAGAGTGTTTGGAAATTCATAGCATTTCAATAACATTTATTAACACTTAATCCACCATTCCTTGAAAGGCTATCAAAACACAGAAATCGTCTATCACAAAACCATACAAGAAGACTCTTCAAATTCAATTATCTTTTCATTTGAAATGAAAGTAAAATTCTTGGTTTGCTTCATGATTTGTGGTTTTTTTTCATGATTTGTTTTTAAAAGTAACACCTATCCTAGGGCTTTTATTTGGAGTATAAAATAGTAATAAAGATGAAAGAAAATTCTAGAAAAGCCAAATGTTTCCCTTTCATTTAAAACAATGGCTCAAAGGGAGAGATTTTTATGATTTGCACTTCAGTAAATTAGTAGAAGAGAAGAAAGGCATTTCTTTAAAAAATAAAGCTCTTCCACAATCTAAAAAAAATGTAGAAAAGACTAGCAGATTTGCACTTCCACAAAGGGCAGAAAGAAGAACTGATTGTCTTCCTGCCATGTTGCTGTTTTTCTAAAGATATTATTGTAATAGTCTATGAGACATGTGAACTAGTGTTACAGCTTTGTGAGTAGAAAGAAGACACAGATGAGAGATGTTCTACAGGTAGAATGAGGATTTGGCAAAAGTTTAGATATGTAGGGTAAGTGAGAGTGAGAGTCAAGGATGATGCTAAGATTGGAGGTGTGGCCTATTGGGACAGTAATAGGAAAGTTCAGAAAAGGGGAGGGTTCAGACGAAAAGATAGTGAATTCTGTTTTGGACCCGTTGAATTTGAGATGTCTATGGGACATCCAGTCTGAGATGTCTAAGAGTCATGTGACAATGTAGGGCTGGAGCTCAGGAGAGAGACTAAGGGTGGGTACATAGATTTGAAGATCATCTTCATAGAGACGAAAAATGAAATTATAGAGTTAGTGAGATCAATAAGTAAGATGTTATAAAGCAAAAAGACAAGACTCAGAACATAGACTTGGGGGAATGCTCTTGGTTGGTAGGCATAATAAATTCTCTAGATAACTAGAGAAAAGATAACTAAAGAATTAGTAAAGGAAATTGAGAAGAAACAGTTAGATAGAGAAAGAGGAGAGAGCAAGGTCATGAAAACCTAGAGAGGAGAAAATGTCCAGGAGAAGGTGACCAGCTGTGTCAAATGCTGCAGAAGGATCAATAAATTTGACAGATGAGAAAAGGCCATTAGCTCTGGCAATTAAAACACTATTACTAACTGCCTTGAAAGCTACTGTGATCCTGGAGTAAGTTATAAGAGAGGCATAGCATCCAGAAATAAAGAGGCAATAGTCCTTCCATATTCTGCTCTTGTCAGACCATATTTGGAACTTTATGTTCATTTCTGGGCACCATAGCGAAAGAAAGAGATTGAAAAACTGAAGTGTGCAGAGGAGGACAACAAGGATTAGAAAGAGGAGAGACTAAAAGTAGGGAGAACAACTAAGAAGCTATTACAATGGTCCAGGCAAGAGATGACAAGGGTCCAAACTATGTTAGAGGCTACAGGAGTAGAGAAAAGGGAAGACATGCCAGAGATGTTACAAAAGTAGAACCGAAAATACTTGGCAACTGAGAGAATATAGGATGAGGTGGGGAGTATCGTGAGGTAAAGAGAAGAGTCAAGGATAATGCCAAGGCAGTAACCTATATGACTGAAAGTATGGTGGTGCCCTCAACAGAAATCAGGAAGTCTAGAGGAAGAAGGAATTTGAAGGGGGAAATGTAATAAACTACATATAGGGGATGTTGAGATGTCTATAGGATAAACAGGTAGATACGTCCAGCAGGCAGTTGATGATGAATTTAGGAGAAAGATTAAGGCTTGGGTATATAGATTTCAGAGCCTTCAGCATAGAGATTATTGAATTAATTGGAACTGATGAGGTTATTAAGGGTAAGTGGATGGGGAGATAAGAAGGCCTCAGAAGAGAGTCTTGGGGGATACCACACTTAGAACATTTATACAGATTGGTAAATACAACATGATTGGAGGAAGAAGAGAGTGCTAATAATTAGGTGGAATCAGGAAAGGCTTCCCTTATTCTGATTATTGTAAGGTCCTCCTATGTAGTAGATCAAATTTCCTGGGTTTGATAGTTTTTCCTTATGATAGAAAGAAATATAGGAATACATTATATAAAACTGACCAGTAAAAATCACAGAATCTTGAGTTGACTGGAACCTCAGAAACCATCTAGTTAGTCCAACTTGAATCTGAATAGGAATATCCCCATAACATCTTCAACTGCCTTTCACACAGTTTAAACTGGACGTCCCATAGATATCTTTAACTTAATACATCCAAAACTGAACTCATTATCTTTCCCCTACACCCTATCCCCCTTCCTACCTTCCTTATTACTGTAGAAAACAACACCATCTTCCCAGTTCCTCAGGCTCACAACCTAGGAGTCAAACTGGATTCTTCACTGTCTCTCATATCTAATCTGTTACCAAGATCTGCAATTTCACCTTTGCAACATCTCTTGAATATTCTTCATTCTCTTCTTGGACACTGCCACCCCTCTAATGCAGGCACTGCTGGTGGGTCTGCCTGCCTCAAGTCTCTCCCCCCTCCAATTCATGCTCCATTCAGCCACTAACATGATTTCCCTAAAACAAAAGTCCAGCCATGTCACATACCTCAACCCCCCACCTAACCATCAATAAATTCCAGTTTATTATCCCCCACTGCCAATAAACTCCAGTAGCTCCCTATTGCTGCCAGGATCAAATACAAAATGCTCTGTTTGGCATTCAAAGCCCTTTATAACCTAGCTCTCTCCTACCTTTCCTGACTCCTTACACCTTATTCCCTGACACATACTCTGATGCAGTGACACTGGCCTCCTGATTGTTCCTAGAAAAAGATATTTCATCTTTAGGCTCCAGGCATTTTCTCTGGCTGTCCTCCATGCTTGGAATGCTCTCCCTCCTCCACTTGGCTTACTGAACTCCCTGGCTTCCTTTAAGTCCAAACTGAAAACCCATCTTTTACTGGAAGCCTTTCCCAACCCCTCCTGATTCTAGTGCCTTTCCTCTATTATTTTTTATTTGTCCTGTATATATTTGTTTGCATGTCGTCTCTCCTACTAGATCATAAGTTCCTTGAGGGCAGGGACTGACTATCTTTTGCCTCTTTTTGTATTCCCATGCTTAGTACAGTGCCTAGCACATAGTAGGCATTTAATAAATGTTTACTGATTGATTGACATATAGTTATCTAGCCTTGGCTTGAAGACCTCCAGTAAATAAGAATTCACTATTTCCTGAGGCAACACATTTAATTTTGGGGCAGCATTAATTGTTAGGAAGAGTTTTCACCTAAGAAGCCTAAATCTGCCTTATTTCAGCATCTAGCTCCTAATTCTGCCAGACAGAAAGTCTAAACAGAAGTCCAGTACCTGTAACCTATCAAATGTCTTTGGTTACTTAAAGATAACCCTAACCAATTTTATTTTACAATATTGTTGAAAATAGTTATATCTTTCATATAGTTATACACATATATAGTTCATTCCTAGTTGCCTGGCTCAGTCTTTTCTCTACTACAGCTCATGCCTTCATACTAGGAGACTTCAATGTTCACACTGATGTTCCAACAATTATCCTAAGCTCTCATATCCTCACTTAACTCAGTTTTCATGAAATACTGCTCCACTCTACCTAGACTACACACAGAGATGGGTCATACCCTTGATTTTGCCATTACCCACAAGTTTTCTGTTTCTGCATTCATGAACTTCGCAATGGCTTTCCATCTTTCCCTATGTATTACAACCCCAATCTTATTTTTCATTCTCATCATAACCTCCAATCCTTCCACCCCTTAGTTCTTCTACAGGCCTTTGCCCCTGTACAGTCTACATTTTCCCTTCCCTCTTTGTGAATTAGTTCAACTCTATAGTATCTTTTACATTGAAACTCCTTGTCCCCTTGTCCTATCATGGATCATGTTTTGCCATGCCCCACCTTGGATTATTCCCACCATTCACTTCCATCCATGAGTAGCTGAATAGAGCTGAAGGAAATCATGAAATCATGCTGAGTCTACTATAAATTTATATTACATAATTTCAAGTGGGCCCTCAACAAGGCAGTTCTTTTACACCTCCCTAGTCAATTCCACACCACGGAAACTTGTTCTAAATATTATGCCTCTCCTCAAGCCTCTCACAGCACCTCATCCACCAACCCCCTTAACTGAGGACCTCCCCTCATACTTCACCAAAGAAGTTCAAGACTATCTGCTAAGAGTTCCCTCCTCATCTCACATCACTCAGACATCTTCCTCCCAATGTCTCCTCCTCTTGCCCTACTTCGCATAAGAGATAGCCCTTCTCCTTGCCAACTCAGAAACACGTACCACTGATCCCATCCCATCTTGTCATCTCCAGCAAACTGATCTCTCTGTAATCCTCATTTTTTCTCTAATCTTCAATATCTCCCTCTACTTGCTCCTTCCCTCCTACATGCAAATATACCCATGTCCTCCCATTCTTAAAAAAGTCCTCACTTGA